GGAGATCACAGAATAAAAGCTTAACAAATCTAATTTTAACATATTTTAGTTACTTCCTTCTCTCACTTTGCAGTGAATGTGGTCTTTTTTTTTTTTTTTTTTTTAAGTGATTTACGAATCATTTTTAAAGCATGCTTCTGTTGTTCAGAACATCTCTTGAGAGAACTGGAATCCTGTCATCCACTTTCATCTTGTCCCTGTCTTACTCTGTATTTGTCTGAATGATAGGCATTAGGCGTCAAAGAACTTTTGGTCTTTGTTCTCACCACTTGAGGAGTGGTGCAGCTCAGTGTAAAATCTAATATAGTTTCATATATCACAACATTCAAAAGAGTTGAATTCTTTGGGCAAAAGTAGATGAGTTAAAATCAAAAACTTTTTACATTTCAGACTTTTTTTTTCCCCTCTTTTTTTTTTTTTTTTTTTTTTTTTAATAATGAGATAAAGAAATTTCACTGTTTAGATTGTCTTTTCTCCATATGTTACCTTGTTTTAGCAGGCATTTCACTTATGCAAGATAATTTATTGTGGCCTGTTTCTGCTTGACCTGAGAGCAACAGTTCAGCCACAAAAGTCAGATTTTACAGAACTCACTCACAATTTTGAAGGGAGTATCATTTTTTTAGTATAGCAAATTAGATTTGGGAAATCCAGTACCATTGAAATAGTTGATGAAAATTCACTGAATTTCATAATCTATTTACTGCACAAATATAGTTGTCTAGTATGCATGTTTTAGAGCATCATGATGTCTAAGCATCTGAAAGCTCTGGAATTCTAACACTAAAGGATATTTTAAAGTCTGCAAGTGTCAGAAGGATATCATCAAAGTTCATTTAAAGCTAGAGCAGATGTTAACATATGAAAAAAGGTGTGTGTGCTGCTATACAAGGAATGCTTTTTTCAAAATGCATCTATGCGAAAGCTGGCAGAAGCATTCAAGGTGCATTACAGACATGACATGCACATGGTCTGATGGGTAATATGGGTCAGATAACATATTTGGTTTATTAAGTATTCCAGAACACTTAGTTTCTGAGGACAAACAGCAACTAATTAAGCTAGCCAGATGTGAGGCAAAGATAGGACAGTAATGCAAGCAAGAAGAATGAATGCATGAAAAAAAGAGTGAATTTATATCCGGGAAGAGAAAGCAAGGAAAAAGAAAAGTAGAAAAATCCAGCTATTTGCAGAAAATAACAGGAAAGTGTTCAGTTCTCTGCTAAAAAGGAAACAAAACAAGGTAACTGTGAATTATTACCTTAATAATAGGGAGTGATAGTATGGTTTTCTGGAATGGCAGAAGACTGATGTCTCATTCTCAGTCACAGAAACATGTGAGAGTGTCCAAATTCACAGTTTACCTCACACATACCTCAGTGCCGTGGAGGTTATGAAATGGATAATCTCGGAAGCCATCATGGATCAATTAAAGGTCAACCAGAGGATCAGGCCCAGTCAGCATGGGTTATGCTTGGTAGGTCCTGTTTGACAAAACTGATTTTGTTCTATGATGAGGTGATCTGCTTAGCAGATGAAAGTGAAGCTGTCAGTATGATCTACCTGGCCTTCACTAAGGCCTTTGACACTGTTTCCTACAGCATCCTCATAGAGAAGCTGTCTGCACATAGTTCGGATGGGCATGTGCACTGTTGGGTGAAACACTGGCTGGATGGACAGGCGCTAATAGTTGTGGCCGATGAAGTTAAATCCAGTTGGCAGCCAGTCACTAGTGGTGTCCCCTGGGCTCACTATTGGGGCCGCTCCTATTCAACATCTTTATTAATGATCTTAATGAGGGGATAGAGTACACCCTCAGGAAGTCTGCAGACAACACCAAGTTGGGAGGGAATGTTGATATGCCGGAAGGTATTACAGAGGGACCTAGATAGACTGTACTGATGGTCCAAGGTAAACTGTATGAGTTTCAACAGGCCACATTTGAAATTATAAGTTATAGGTTATTTGAAGACTTACGTTATTCCTCTATTTTGAGAAGAAAAGAAAAAAATCAAAAAAAAAAAAAAAAAAAAACCAACAAAATTGTTATTTTGCCTACTATGAAAAGTAGCATCAGACGTGCTAGTCATCATGGGGGGTCTCAGATCACTGGAGATCAGGTAGTGTTTTTTGCCCACACAAAAGAAGGTTCAGAAGAGGATCCAGGGAACTACAGGCCCATTAGCTTGATTTTGGTATTGGAGAAGGTCATGGAGTAGATCATCTGGATCACATAGCATTGCAAGATAACTGGGGAACGAGTCCTAGCTAACATGAGTTCATGAAAGGCAGGTCCAGCTTGACTAAGTTGATCTCCTTTTTGACCATGTGATTCACCTGGTGAGTGAGGGAAAGGCTGTGTATGGAACCTACCTGGAATCTCAAGTTACTATACCATTATCAAGGCCCAAATATGACTACTACTGCCTTTTAATTAAGCTAAAATTTGAGACAGAAAAATAAAGCCACAACAATGTGAATACAAACCACAAATTAAAGAGTGAATCCTTCTGCTTAATATTAGCAAGAAAAATAATAGATGGCAATAAATGCTGATCTCTCTTCAGAAAGTGGCTTATAACCACCTTCTTTGTTTTCAGTTGATTTTGTTAGTTATCTCAGTGCCAATTAAAGATGGTTTTTTTTTTGCAGTTGACAGAAAATGTCCGATCACATTTGACAATGAAGGCAGAATAATCAGGTCCTACTTCTTCAAGAGAAGTTATTGATGACTAACTATGCAGTTATGTATTTCATATAAATAAACCTACATTTAATATCTGTACAAATCTTTGGATGCCATGCCTTAGTGTAAATTTTTTGATACAGAAAAAGGAACTTTTACCATACGAGAAAAATTATTATACCTGCTACCATTATTACACTAAACACCCCTCTTCATCTTTCTATTTCATGTTAAAGTTTCTCTTTATATCAGTCACTGTGATTCCTTCACCTAAGCCTTCCTCTACCCAAATGTACATTGCCTCTTGTTATAGATTGAAGCTTACATTTTCTCTGCATCTCTGCTTTCTTTCTATATGTAGATGCAAGGTTCTCCATAACTATATTTTTTTTGTCACAGTATTTCCTGAACCAACAGTTTTTTGAGTACGAAAGTTTAGTTTTAGAACATCTGTAATTAAACACTTATAATAAGTAAAAGGTGACTTTAAAAACACTCCAAATTCTGGAAATTGTTAATAGATGACTGATTTGAAGAAAACTGAAATTACCTGGATAGCAATATTATGTCTGTCATATTAAAAGATTGATGATAAAATTCCTTGTCTCTTACTAACCATTTCTGACAGTAAATGAAAAGTTGTGCTGTCCTCTTCTCTGAACACATTCTGTAGCTTATAACAGAAGCAGAGCACTTGCAAGGTATACTATAAAATTTTCTTGATATTGTTGACAAAATGAGAAAGATATGGTATCTTTTTGACTGGCATCACTACATCTTTCTGAGCAAAAATATATTTTCTGTTATTTTCTCCTTCTTACTAAATACTTAGCTGAGGTTTGGCTTTTGTATTTGTAAATTTCATTTGAATAATTTTCTTTTACTCATCTTGAACCAGCAATTAAATAATTATCAACAGAATTAAATTCACTTTATTCAGGACTCTAAACATCAAAGGATTATTTGAAATTCAGTTTGGGATTGTCCAGCGGCATTTCCTCCCACCTAGAGAAAAGACCATGCCCAGGAATTGCTCCTCAGCCACACTGTGTAAGTGTGAAAGCAAAATAAATAATTAACCTGTCAGGGAAAAAAAAAAAAAAGTTCCTGACAACAATGTATTTACAATGCTGGCTCAATATATTCTTACTCCTGACTGCATTGACCTTACTGAAGAATGATCTTCACCAGTTTCTGTGATGCTTTGCCAAGTCTGAGCTTTAACTGGGCTGGAGGATGTGACTGATTTAGATTCCAGTGTATTCAGTCAGTCTCTTTCACTCTGTGTTACCCTGCATATATTGCATCTAATCTGTTACTTTGGAAGGGCCTGCAGATGCTGTTAAGTGATTTATCTTGAGTAACCTCTGTGCTATGACAGCTCTGAGAGAGTAGATGGTCCCAGCAGTGATAAGAGGAGGCATACTCAGCACAAAGTGCACAATTGCACATTTTTGTCAATGTAGGAGTTGCCAAAGGAAATTTGCAATTTTATGATTAATGGGTAGTTTTCTTTTAATGCAAAATAATAATTAAGAAAGCAATGCAATATCCAAACTCTTGTGGGGATAACTGCCCTCCTCTGCATAATTATGAACTTTATAAAATATATTCACAAAAATAATAATTAAAAGGTTTTGTGTGTGTGTGATTAAAAACGTCACATTCAAAAGCAAACAGTTGTACTAAGAAATCTCATTAAGTTTCGAAGACATCAGGTGAATCCTAACAGCAGCAATGTGAAATGCTGCCTTAAATGAAATCACGAAGGCCCATATTATTTAAGTATACTTTCTCAAAATATACACAATCTTATAGACTTTACATATCATGACTGTTTTAAAATAAATTATATAGCTTAAACCTCTTTACAATTTATTAAGTAAAAAACAAAAGAAAAATTTTAAAGTGTAATACAATACCTTTGTTCCATCAAAAAAAAAAAAAAAAAAAAAAGTCAATGGGGTCTGGTTTTTAATGTGTCTGAATTTCCAAAGTACAGAATTATTTCTGTCTAAGTTGAAATGAATGCAACTAAAAGATAACTCATTGTTACTCCAGCACTTGAACTTTTCAGAATCTCTGTTCTTCTTAGCTACTGTAGTGAAAAATGCATTCCATTTGTATGGGAACTGCTGAATCATGGCCTGAACCTCTGCTTGATCACCTGAAGTGAGCAATGAGTCAGCCAAGGGAGCACAGGTGATGGCAATTCACCTGTGCTGCCAGAAAGGGTGGAGCCTGGCTCCACCTCTCTAGACCCATTTAAGAGCTGGCTACCAGTAGGGAAGGATCTCTTCTGGAGGCTCATCCTGGTGGAGTTTCATAAGCAAGCTTGGGGTAAGGGTAAGCTTTCTATCTGTTCTCTTTTTATTATAATCTGCTTTGCCTAACTCTTGTTATAACTCTAGTTATAACACCTTAATATTTGTTGATTATGCACCATTAAAACTAAATCAGGCTTATTCAAGATTTTGGAAGGCGTATCTTCAGCATTGTAAACTGTTAAATTATACTATACTCTGTATTGGTGCCTTAATATTATTTTGAAATGAATTGGTGTTATGCTTTCCAGTGTAAGATTATTTGGTCCTCAGTTTCAGTTTGTGCCTCTTCATAGTGATCTAGTATCTAGGCTACGTAAAAAGCACGTGTATTTTTAAGCTTGTTACTGAATGCTATCTCACCACTGCTTTCAGACTTCATCAGTTAAAAGCAAAAATTCTGATACAGAACTTTTCAGCTGAAGTTTAGTACAAGGCTAACTTCAGATTAAATGAGATAATTAAACTTACTAATGCAGAAAGGATGCCATAGCTCCAAATCTGAAAAAATAAGACAAAGGAGTAGAATTCACAGATCTCCTAAGTCTGTAAGTCTGCTGTAATGGAAATAATGGGAAAAAGACATGCATTTCAAGTTCTGAATTTTAGCATTCATGAGGTAGGAGTCTACATGAAAATAAAATTTGAAACATAAATTTGTAATGTGGTATAAACTGTCAGGCGGCTAACCACCAGGCATCAAAGATTTGGTGGCAGCATTGGAGACAAGTACAGGTGTTTATAAACAAGGTGTTTCCATTTCTTTCAATGTCCTTATGTAGTACACAGAATTAGAGAAGATAAAATTGTGTCCTTGATTACTTCAGCTGATGTCTCAATGATCTGGAGTCTCTTTTGATGGCATTTGAACTGTATGTAGCTGCTTCGTTCCCTACAGGGAAAAGCAGTAATAGTCTGTTGGTTCTAGCAGGCTAGGGAATTTCTGGGTGCAATCCTTAACCTGAGCCCCGGGAAAACAGGAGATTTCTTTAAGAATATAATGAGAATATAAGAATTTATAATTATTTTATATATATATATCTTATTATATATATATTATGTTATTATTCTTAATAAGAATATTTTAATATTATATATTATAATAATATATTATTATTTTATATATTATATATTATAATATAATTATTATTATTATTATTATATGCAAATATTATTATTATTGGAATTTATATTATTTATAAGAATATAAAATATAATGCTTGGCAGTGGCGTTGAGTGCACTCTCAGCAAGTTTGCTGATGACACCAAAACATGGGGTGCAATCAACATACAAGAGGACAGGATGCCATTCAGAGGGATAAGCAGGCTCGACAGGCTTAAGCAGCGGGCCCAGGTGAACCTCATGAGCTTCAGCAAATCCAAATGCACAATCTTACACCTGAGTCAAGGCAATCCCTATTACCAATACAAGCTGGAGGATGAAAGGATTGAGCACAGCTCTGATGAAACAGACCTGAGGGTACTGGTGGATAAGAAGCTGGATATGCGCCAGCAATGTGCCATTGCTGCCCAGAAAGCCAACTGTATTCTGGGCTGCATCAAAAGAAGAGTAGTCAGTTGATTGAGGGAGGTGATCCTACCTTTCTACTCTGTTCTGGTGAGACCTCGCCAGGAGTCCTGTGTCCAGATGTGGTGTCCTCAGGACAGGAGAGAGGTTTGTCCGGATAAGGGCCACAGTATGATTCAAGGGATGACTCTCTCCTACAAGAACAGGCTGAGATGGGTCTGTTCAACCTGGAGAAGTCTGCAAGGTGAGCTGATAGTGGCCTTTCAGTATCTAGAGGAGAGCTACAGGAAAGAAGGCAACAGACTCTTCAGTAGGGTCTGTGGCAATAGAACAAGTGGAAATAGTTTCAAGCTCAGGGAGGGTTTAATTTAGATTTAAGGAAAAAAATTGTTTGCAGTGAGGATGATGAGGCACTGAAGCAGGTTGCCTAGGGATGTTGTTGGTGCCCCACTCCTAGAGACTTTCAAGGCAAGGCTGGATAAGGCTCTAGACAACCTGATCTAACAGTGATGTCCCTGTTTACTGCAGGGGAGTTGGACTAGATGGCCTTCAGAGGTCCCTTCCAACTCTAAGGACTGCATGATTCTGTGATACTGGGCATTCAGTTCCCTGCGGGGAAGAGTTGGCTACAACTGATACCTGTCTCTTCATCTTAGAGAATGTAGCCTTGTTAAGTGGGAGAAGCCTTTTCTTGTTTTGTTTTTATTGATTCCTCTAGTGTAAGTGGGCTTTTATTAATCACAGATGAGCATGCTACATCCAAAGCTTTATTTATTTTACAGAATGGGCAGGCAGGAGTTTCACTTACAGCTCTGAGCAGGGGAATTCTTCCATCCACTCCTTTCGTTTGAGTTCTTGGCTTCAGCCTGACAGAGAGGGGATAGAGGCTACCTTCAATCTTGTGCTTTCTTCTGCAGAAGAATTTGTCCCTGAGAGGGCAGTGTATTTCCTCTGCTCCTTCTTTCTGATCCCTGTGATACTTCTTAACCTGTACATTTCATCACTGGGCTGAGCAATACACCGACTTGACTGCACCACACATAGCTGTTCTCACTGCTGCCACACAGTACTAGTGAAAGACTTAGGTACTCTGTGGAGCTGATGGTCTGGATGACAGCATGTTTGCCTTGGACTTCAGCCTGAGTTTTGGTATTCATTCTGGTGGGTGCAGGCACTCTGGCTCTCTGTCATGTGGATAGTATTACTAGTGTCTTTATACTCAGAGGGTGATAATGCTATATTTAGGGGACAAACTGATGCCCCAAGACCTGTTTACCCATCCTGTTCCCAGTGTTCTTGGTCTTTTGTGGTCCTAGAAGCTTCCTAGTATGCGTGGAAGGCTTCTACCTCTCATCCTATCTTCACCCATGCTATGTTAGATCAGCCTCTCATCAGGAGATGCTCATCTGCACTTCTAACTTGATGGCTTTGCCTTGCTGAGAGCAAGGTTGGCCACTGAGACCTGCTTTGAAGCTGGTCCCCTTAAAATCACCCAAGATCAAAGCTGCTCAAAGCCCTGTCTAAGCTGGCCTTGAACTCTTTCAGGGCTGGAGCATTCACAACTTCTCTAGGCAACCTGTTCCTGTGCCCTACCACTTTGAGAGTAAAGAATTTCCTCTGAATATCTAATTCAAATCTACTCTTGTTGTTTAAAGCCATTATGCCTTGTCTTCTAACTACGTTCCATGATGAAGAGTCTCTCTCCAGCTTTCTTGTAAGTACCTTTTAAGTACTGGAAGCTTTCTGCAGAGCCTTCTCTTCTGTAGGCTGAAAAAAAAAAACAAAAAACAAAAAACAAAACACACTCAGCCTTCTTTGAAAGGAATTACCTTAAAATCTTTGTTTCCATTTTCCACTTTTTGAAAAAGTACAAGCATGTGATTTCTTTTGTGATTCTGCCTAAGAATATTTGAAGTAATGATTTTTTTGGGGGGTCAAGAACTGTAAGAATGCATATTTTACTCCCCAGTCTTTCAAAAGGTGAAAATGCTACAGATAATCATTTTCTTTATTCTCAGAATGTCTATATTTAAGAATGGTGATAAACTTTCTCTCTTTCAAGAGCAGTTCTAATAAAGAACTGGTTGTTTAGGTGTACACCCTCATGAAAAAAAGTATGCAAAGATGAACATCTATATAGATACACAGTTCAACATTAATTACTGCTGTCTAAATCTCTCGGTATTTTTCATTGCTTGTTTTTGTTGCTGTTCATTTAAGTGAACACTAAAAGACTGACATCTCTATGATACCTGTCTTATTTTTCTGTCACTCTCAGCTATGAAACAAGTGAACATATTACAATTATAAAGATTGATTCAGCAAAAACTATAGAAGAAAGATAAAAGATAACTAAAGAAGTATTCCTGTAAAAATGGCCTTGTAAAATAAATGACTGATTTCTAAAATGTTTTCCTTTGAATCTATGTAAAGACATTTTAAAGGAAAAGAAATACACAGAATCTCTTCTAGTTACCCGAGTATTCTGAGTTCTTACTGCTAAGACACACTTCAGGTTCATTTTCCCTATACGTAAGAGTTGTTCAGTACTTGCCTCAAATTTCTTTATGTACGTTCAAATGATTAGTGGTTAATCACAAAACTTCAGTATTGTTTTTTTTTAGTGGCAATTGAGGTTGTTTTGAGCTTTTTCTGTAGTTGTACCGTTATCTTTCAAATTCACTAGCTGCCACCCCAAAATGTAGTATCCTTCCTTTCTGCATCTTTAAAGTGTAGATAAAGTGAATTGTATTAAAGAAGCTCTGCCATAAATTATAGCTGACAGTGGAAGTGATTAAAGCACATAGTTTGATTGCATGCATTAATCTCTACACCTTTCCTCAAGTTTAATTTAATTACATACAGGTGTACGTTTGTTTTTAATTTATTAACTTTGTCACTAATCAGTTGCCCTATATGCTATTGCCTTCAAAATGTTCAAGCCAGATACATGAATAAGACACTAAGGAGCAAGGTAAAAATAAAACAAGCAAACAAACAAAAAAAAAAAAACAAAAAAAAAAAACAAAAAAAAAAACAGATCACTAAGTGTCATAATCCTCCATCAATTATGGAGGATTCAATATAATATTTTCATCTGTTCTTTTTTCATTAGGCCAAAAAAGTGGAAGTCAAAAGGCACTAAATCCTGATTATACAATGGCTGTGGTAGGACAGTCTAGCGAAGACTGTTAATTTACTCCATCTTCAAAGTAATATGGGGGCTGGAATTATCATATTCCAAGAAAACTATTATCTTCTTTGGCCTGACTCTGGAAGTTCGAACCTTCATTTAGACAGCATCACAATGTGGTAGTCAGAATTGATGATTTGGATTTGTTGGGTTCCAGGAAATCCATAAGGATCATCTCTTTCCTATTCCATTGTCCAATGTCCACTGTTCCAGTGAACACTATCTTACCTGCTGAGGGCTGTATCTTGAACTTTTTTTTGATGAGGAATTCACATATCACCACTCCGCTGACAGCCATTTTGATCTCTCATAGTGGTGATATGACAACCCATCCCTGGTAATAATGCTATTAAGGGAAATGTCACCTTCAGCCTCATATTTGGTTTGATAAATTCTGACAAACTTGCATACAGTGTTCTTCCTGTTACTATTCCTGTCTAAGCATTCACAGGACCCACTTGGAACAAAGTTTGTGGTATTCCAACACTGGCACTATCATTTCCGGTGCACTGAAGCTGATATTCAGCTCCATGCACAGAGCCTTGGTCGCAATTCACAAATTTGCACAGATGAGCTGATAAAGAGGCTGTTCTTTTAGTAGTGCGTTAACCATGCATGACTCTCTGGAAAAAAAAAAAAAAAAGCTTGTCTTTCATGTCACCACTGCCACTACTGAAATGCAATGCCCAGTGTCTCACTGTTCTCAAATCCACTGGTTTGAGAATGTTAATCAAGTGTTGGTGAATGTCAATTGGTGCTATTTTTTTCTACATGGAGGAATTTAATTACATAACTTTGCTTCATACACACTTCAGTGTCAGATACCATTTTGTCAGACTGTACCTCTGTTGTCATCTGTAAAACAGCAACAAAAAGTAGTGGAATATTTCTGGGAAGATTCAATCTCCACTGTTATATCACCAATACCCACCTCTGATTTTGCGGGTTAGTAAAATAATAAAGGAGACATTATTCAGCTGTCATCAGTCATACAAACTGTTGCTGCTACTTTATTATTTTATTTTACTTTGATTTATTTCATTATTTTATCACTGTTTGGATCTGGCTGTTCATAGTTTGTGTGTGTGTAGTGTGTTCATCATGACTGGTTGACTTACGTCTAGCGCATTACTTTCATTCTCTGTCCCCAACAAGACAGGCTGAGAAAATACAGATGGAGGAAAAAGCTCATGGATTGAGATAAGGATGATTACAAGCACAGGCAAAACAAACTTACCTTTTGGAAGATTAAGGTGTACCCATTTAGTAAGAAAAAAAATGTTAGAAATTAAAAGCTGAGCTACAGAGAACTTCTGCTCCATTCCTGGGGCAACTCCTGCCCTCCTTCTGCACTGATTGTGGAGTCGGTGGGATTAGTTATCTACAGTTCTCACTTCTCTTTTCCAGCTACTGATGCATAATAGTTTTTCCCTTTCCTAAATGTGCACTCACAGAGCACAACCAGTGTCATTCACTGTTCAGCACTGGCCAGTGAAGAATGTTTGTTTTGTCATTTTATCTTCCTCTTGTAATAAACAGTAAAGTCATTTCTCAATTGTTGATAAAAGAATATGAAGAGCATCTCTGATTTTTATTGATACATGGGCATAGTCAAAAAACACAAATTTTTATGCACCCACAAGTGAGGAACAGTCAACAGTTGTGCATGGTATTTTCTCAATATCAATTCACAAAATGTGTGAAACCTAAATGAATGAGTATCTGACAGAAGAAAGATTCAGTTAGCTAGTTATACAGTTAGCTAGACTAGGCTTATATCCTGCTGACATTTAAATAGCACACAGTAAAGCATTTCAAAAAACCCATAATTTGAGAATACATACTGTGGAATTTAAAAAAGTCTTTCAGAAGAATGAATGGCACAGCATATACAATAATTATTAAAGTTGGTTAGTGAATATAAGCAAGTAAGTCATTTGCTTGTGACCACTGGATTTAATGACTGCACTTGCTGACAAAAAAAAAAAAAAAAAAAAAAAAGCCTTCCCATAGCATAATTAAGTTATATTTCATAGTTATTAATTTTAGAAAATATTTCTAATACAATACATGTACACTATTACTGGTTTGGGTTGATAAGTGCAGTAGCAAATTCTCAAGTGAGGAGTAATTATAGTACAAATTATAACTTATATACAAGTCCCCGACTGTGTCCTGCATTGTGCCAAACTTCATGAAATAACAGACAGAATGACTCTGAAGAAATGCATGAACAAGGGAATTAGGAACGTTTCCAGTTTCAATGCCATATAACAACTACATGATATAACCAGCAGGTAGGTAGTGCTAAATGTGATTTCTTAAAATGTATTCACTTCCACCATTATGTGCATTATGTAGTGGAGCTAAATCTAAAAGTGTCATTGTTTTTACATGTCTATAAGCTGATGAACAGTCTGGCAGACTGGAGAGCAGTTTAATCCCCATTCAGTGCAAAAAGAAAATCCTATGCCATGGAAAATACTTTGGAAGGAGGTGCCATTGGATCATCATCAGTTATAAAAAAATAAAGAAAATTCTAAAAAAGCCAGGAAGCTCATTTAGTCTTCATAGTGCATACACATAAGAAGAGAATCTTTATTTTCAGGACAAGGCAAAATGTGTAAGTTGCCAAAGCTTTTAATGCACACTAACATTTTCAATCCAAAAACCAGCTTAAGTCAAGTAGTTGTAACAGAATAAGTTTCTTCATTGACTTATACCATTTCTTACTAATTTGCTTTTCTATATTTTTCACCTGTTACTGTTTCATGCAGAAATTTAACACTTGCACTGTGATAAAAAACTGAATTGTTTCCTTGTAAATGTCATCAAAACAGCTAAGTAATGTACAAAAATAACCTTGCAACCTAAGATATCAAGGTGGAGATATAAAAATATATGAAAAAGAAATGTAAAGTGGAGAAACTGATTGGAATAGCTATTAAAAATAAGTAAGAGCGAGTGTCTGAAGACAATGAAGTAATGAAACCCTTATTTTTCAGGTATCAAAACAGAATAACAAGAGCCAGGAGGAGCACTGCTTCTTGGAAAATTTATCATTCGTCTAAAGAAGATGTGCTCACTTTACATGCAATCTGATGAAATAGCTATTCCTTGCATTTAGGAGACAAATTAGAAATGTTTACTGTTACCCAAGTATATTCTTTTTACATGCCACAGTTATTTAAACACTATCATAGATTAACTGCACTGCAATATTATTTCTCAGATTAATTAACATTCAGAAGTAGCATTAATTTTAGAAGAAAAATGTTGAACAGAGTAAAAAGTAAAAAGTTATTTAAAACTTAAAAAAAATAATGAAGGAAAAGAAGGACATGAAGACATTTTGGCATGGATTTGTTAGTACTGCTGTCTAATCTCTCAGAATATTTATGTTGAATAAAGATAGACTATGGCTTGCTCTGCTCTGCTGAGTACAAAATTATTCTGTTATTCTTCGCTCTGATTTGGATATAGAGTGCGATAACTCCAGTCATCCATTTAACTTATGCAGCTCTGTGACAGTCTTCAGAAAGGTGAATGACAAGAAGGGGATATAGATGAATGTCAAGTTAAACATCTTAAGCCATGTAAACAAAAGGAATAATTACTTAACTTACCAGGTTTCTTTTTATGTCTCTAATAAGAAAAAGAAGAATGAAATGGGCAGACTGGTATAGTATTAAATAAGGAGGTTGGTGGCCCTGCATGTGGCAGGGGGATTGGAGATTCATGATCCTTGAGGTCTCTTCCAACCCTGGCCATTCTGTGATTCTGTGAAAAAGTAAGTTATTTTTAGAGCAATGTATTTCAAAGGAGAAGAGATAAATTCAATGTAATGCAGATCTCAAGGCTAGAAAACATCTTTCCTTAGCCCTGTGCAACACAATATATCCTTGACATTTGGCTAGATCTAAGAACATCTAGATCTTGCTGAAAACAGGAAGATAGGTTGTCTTGCTCCAATTTATAGGAGAAAGAGGAGATTCTTTTAATATATGTATACCTAGTCCTAGTCATTTAGGGAGGTGGGGAAGGGAAGACAGTAGAAAAGACAGGAAATAAAAGCAAGGAGTCTTTGTAGGAAATGAGAGAGAGATAGTCACCACCATGGATTCCAGCATTTCTTGTAGTTCAGACATTAATCTTCAGATGGGTCATCAGAGGTTATTGTTCAGTTGATGATGATAACTTTCAACAACAGTACAAACTTATTTATATGTCCAAAGTGGTCAAGTCAGCTCTCTTTGGAGTGACAGCTCAAATCCAAAGTGGTTGAGTCAGCTCTCCTTGGAGTAGCAGCTTCTGCCTCTGGGATCTCGATGGAAACTCTTTTGTTCCTATCTTCCGGGCCCTGCCAGCAGATAAGAAGGAGCGGGGAGGTGCCTGCCTGCATCCTGTTTTTCACAGGATACAATGGTATCATCCCCCAATCTTTCATTGCAAGGTGGAGTTATTTGGTCACAGGCCAGATCTTTCACCAGTAAACACTCCTGAATACTCTCTTCCAAAAGCAAACAGCTCCAAATAAATGTTTTCAAATGTTAAATTGCCCACAAAGTGATGCCAACAGCCACATGGTTACATCCACCTCTAATCTCCTAGATAAGTCTTTGATAAGACACTTATCAAAAGAAATGTCTCAGAAAGCAAGCCTTGAGCCAAAAACAAATAAGGGTTTGGGCACAAATGTACCTTGGTGAATGACCAATATGATTTGTAATGGATAAACATTTTTAAATATTCCTTTATCAGAGCTAAACAACTCACCTCTTACAACATTCTCTAAAGTTTAAATTTTCTTGAGCACAACTTTCAACATTTTTCACTAATTGGGTGTGTTGTCTTTTTGGTGGCATTACAACCTGTTCCTTTATAAAGAAAATTATTCAGAACAGAACATATGAAGCATTCTCTCTTAGAAATGGAGACCTAATCTCCATAATGAAAGAATGAAGGAAGAAGGGCATGTTTCATATTCAGCACAAAACTGCATGTCTCATCTGTTCAAACTTCCATCCAGTGAGTCCTGAACAGGCTGGAGAAATGGGTCCATGAATATACCTGGGACACAGTAAACATTTCTAATTTGTCTCCTAAATGCAAGGAATAGCTATTTCATCAGATTGTATGTAAAGTGAGCACGTCTTCTCTAGAGTTAGCAGTGTGCACCTGCAGCCCAGAACGCCAAATAAAAGCAGTGGCCAACAGGGAAAGGGAGGTGACTCTCTCTCTCAGCTCTTGTGAGGCCCCATGCATCCAGGCCTGGGGACCCCAGCACAAGAAAGACACAGAGCTCTTGGAATGAGTCCAAAGGACAGCCACTAAGATAATCAGAGGTCTGGAGCACCTCTCCTGTGGGACTGGCTCATTTAGCTTAGAGAAGAGAAAGCTCTAGGGAGACTTCATTGTGGCTTTCCAGTACTCGAAGGCAGCATATCAACAGAAGGGGGAATGACTATTCATGAGAGTGGATAGTGATAGGACAATGGGGAATGGTTTTAAACTGAGACAAGGGAGGTTTAGGTTAGATATTAGGAGGATGTTTTTCACTCAAAACCCAGCTGGATGTGGCTCTGGGCAGCCTGGTCTAGTGGTTGATGGCCTGCCCACAGCAGCAGGATTGAAACTAGATGATCTTTGAGGTCCTTTTGAACCCAGGTTGTTCTATGATTCTAGGTAAAATGACCAAGATAGAGGCCTATTAGAATTATTTTACTTTTGCAATTGTTGTTCTTTTTCATGACTTCTGAGAGATCATATCCACAGGGGAATTTGGCATCTGCCTAATTTTCAGGATCTGTTGTTGCTAAAGGATGTTTTTGTTTTTAGATCACTGCATTCTAAAGCAGCTTGTGCACTGAAAGCTGAGACATGGAAAATGGAAATTGACATGTTCCACAGAAGATGGAGACAGAATGTTTCTCCACTTAGTAGCTCAGGCAGAACGAGTAATTATTGTCACAACTTCCAGGAACTTTAGTTTAGTGTTAGATTGTTCTAATGTTTTGCACCTGCAGGGGAAAAAAAAAAAAAAAAAAAAAAAAAAAAAGAATCATTGTGATTCTGTCATTTATCATTCTGTACCAGCTTAGTGAATTTGTTAGAATCACTTTCAGGTTTTTTTCGTAAGTGACTATTGATCAGTTCTATCCATGCAGAAAACAATTAGTTTCCTGTTATATTTGTCATAAAGTTTTCTTGCTTCTTCTCTATCAGCTTGGTAGGTTATTTTCAAGAATTTTGAATAATACTGCAGGCCTCTAACAGAAGTTTGGTTGCTGTTCTCTCAATTCTGTTTTAATGAATTCTACTGCTTATTTATTCTACAGAATTGCACCAGCTAATACTTGAAAGAAAAAAAAAATGTATAGAGCTTTTATATCTGTCATAGAATCATAGAATACCTAAGTTGGAAGGGACCACAAAAGATCATCTGGTTCTATGGGAAAATGGAGGTGAGGTGTAGTTACTTGGTACCCTGTCCAATTGTGTTTTCAAAATCTCCAATGATAAGTGTTTCTACCATAACTTTGTCAAGGCTATTCCAGTGATTGATATTTTATGCTGTGAAAAATTCTGTCATATCAACAGGAAACCTCACCCATAGTAGCTTGAATCTGTTGCCACTTTTCTTCTTTATGTGGCTTTTTATTAAAAGGAAGTTTCCATTGTCTTTATGGCTGCCCTCTAAGTACTAGAATACTGTGTGATGTCACCACTGATCCTTTTACATAGGTTTACATTAAGGTTTTACATACAAAACCTTATTGTTTGGCCTCGGTGATTTCTTTTTCTGCCTTCTTCCTTTCTACTCATAGAAGATGAAATATTTCTGTGCATCCAGGAGGTTTGGTCCTGAATGACTACCCGCACTCACAGTTTCCTTTACACTCTACGGATGCTTCTCAATTATTTTTGGGTTTTCACTTAAATTATTGTTTGTTCAGTGTCTCTCAGAGAATGAGGATCATAAAAAAATAACATTCTTCAGCATTCATTTTATCATCATATAGTAACATTAAGCCAAAGTGTTGAAATGTGAATAGGATAAATACAGTGTAACATGAGTAGAAAATTGTAAAGATTATGAGGATCAAAACTCTATGAACAATGGCAAAGTCCAGTTGGATATCAGTTACAATGGGAGACTGTTGAGATCAAGTCTAAGACCAGTACTATTTCACTATATATATTTATGTCATTATATTTACATAATATAATGTAAATTTACAGCCTGGATTATAGGATGACCTGCACCTTCAGTAAGTTTCTGGATTATATGAAATTTGGATAAATAATCAATACACTGGAGGACAGGGTGTGGCTGTGGAAACAATCTATTCAGCCTTTAAGAACAGGGAGAGTGAGACGAAACATTATTCCTCTCTTCATGAAATGGTAGAATGTAGAGAAGATTAGTCTGTATGGTGAAAGAAATAGACAACATGTAGATGGGAAGTTTCTGGTATATAGGAAGATAAAACTTTTGAACCATATATACATGATCAGGTACTGTAAAATGGTACCCAGAAAGACTGTCATACTGGGGGACGTTCAAAACTCTTAACAGAAGTACAAACTTCTTAGCAATTTGATCCAGTCAGGCTTGCTTTCCACATGGAACTAAATGACCGCTTGAAATTTCCCATGTATATTTTTTCATGATTCTGTGTTACATAAAGGTTTTCTCTAAAGTAATTACTTTATTGGTAGTTTACGTTGTCAGCCACACAATGATTTTGTTTAAATAATAGATCACATATCTTTACACATACATGTCTCTTAATTGTCTTTCAAAATCTACTTGCACTACATAGACAACAAGGAATTTAAAAATGAAGTGAGAAGTTCTCCATTTGGAAATGCTGCTGGTCTTGTTTAGATCAGACTTTCAGTTCTACAGCAATTGTTTCTTGACCCACATTCTTTGGCTGTCTTGCCTGACTGTTAAAATCACAAAGACACTATAAACATTCATGATATTTTCTGATCATTTGAATACACAATGAATTGTGATTATTGCTTCTGTGAACATAGTTACATTCATTTATATTTTACTTTCCATCT